ATATCTTGCAGTATTCTCTTATATCCTATCGGAGCTCCGGCTAATATAACGAGCGGTAGACTAACTTTAGCGTCTTGTCTTCGCCGAAGTATCTAGCGAGGGCGGAGTCGTAGAAGTTAGCTATAATTTCTGCTCGGACGGCCGGCTTATTTAGGACGTAAAGCCTCCCTTAGTACCGTAGTAGGTTCTTATTATCGAATATCTAGGGGTCTAGCTTACTGTAGCGGGTTCGCCGGGCATCCTTCTACTCGTTCCTTTTACGGGCGACGAACTCGTCCCGTTGCTATAGCGAGGCTACGAGACTTCTAAAAGGTTGCCCTACGTCGCCGCTTATAGTCTAGCTCGCGAGTAGGACCCTTACTGTTAAGCGTAGTACGTAGTATATACATTTACTAGTACTAGCGACCGGAGTTGTATCGCGTAACGGCGCCGGGGGTTCGCCGGGCGTATCCGAAATTTCGGTCGTAGACTCCTCGCTACTTGCTATACTAACCTTACCGTTACGGATTCGTATAGCTATTACCGCAATACCTAGGTTAGCTAATTTGAGCTTATACTAGAGGGTTAGTAGCAATTAATTAACCGCGTCGTTCTCGGTCTAATAGTCCGCTCGTCTCGAGGGGCTATCTACTAGGTTGGTCTTCCCCGGCCGGTAGTATATCTCGAAGTCGAATTAGCCTAGATATACCGCCTATCGGGCTTATCGCCCGTTTAGCTTCTATACTGTCTAGATACCCCTTAGGTTATTGTAATCGGTATATACCTATAGCGGGGTATATACGTCCGCGAAGAAGTGTCTCTAGATCTTAAAGCTATAGACGACCGCGAGGAGCTCTTAGTCGTACGTTTCGTAGTTTCGCTCCGCCGGCGACATCTTTCTTAACGTAAAGGCGATAGGGTGCTACCGGTTGTTATAGAGCTGCGTTAGGATCCCGTATAGGCCGTAGTCGGACGCGTCGGTTTCTAGTCGTAGAGGCTTCGCCGGGTCGTAGTAGCGGAGTATAGGGGCGGAGGTAAACATCTGTTTCAACGCCTAAAACGCCGCCTCCCCGGCCTCCGTCTACTGAAATTCGCCTTTCTTTAGAAGGTTAGTTATCGGGGCTATTACCTTCGCGTACCCGGCTATAAAACGGCGGTAGAAGTTAGCGAACCTAAGGAATAACTGCAGTTCCCTTAGGTTGGTCGGCGAGGGCTACTTAGTAATAGTAGCAACCTTCTCGGGGTCGGTATATACGCCCTTACGGTTTACTCGGAATCTAAGGAACAATACCTCGCTTTGCGCAAAGGTACACTTCTTTAGGTTAACGAATAATTCAGCCTGTTCTAGCCTAGCGAGTACCCGGCGAACCGCCTCCTAGTGCTTTTCGATATTATCGTAGTAGGTATAGATAAGGATGTTATCTAGGTATACTACTAGGATATTATCGAGCAGCCCGGCGAGGGCCCGGTTAACGTACGCCTGAAATATAGCCGGAGCGTTAGTTAGCCCGAAGGGTATTACCTTATACTCGAAGTGCCTATATCGCGTTCTAAAAGCGGTCTTCTATTCGTCGCCTTCGCGGATACGGATTCGGTAGTACGCGTCCTTAAGATCTAGAGAGGTAAAGTACTTAGCGCTAGTAAGGCGCGTAAGGCTTTCGTCGATAAGGGGAAGCGGGTATCGGTCCTTAATAGTAATCGAATTCAAGGCGCGGTAGTCGACGTATAATCGCAAGGTCCCGTCCTTCTTTAGTATAAATAGTAGCGGAGCCCCGGCGGGGCTAGTGCTATATACAATCCGTCCCTGCTCTAACTCCTTATAGAGGTATTCCTAGAGGACTTCTAGCTCCCGCTAGGAGAGATAGTAGAGGGATCCGAAGGGCGGTTCCTTACTATCTATTAGTTCGATAGTATAGTCGGTTGCCTTATAGGCCGGAAGGATCGCCGCGGAGTCGTTGTCGAATATATAGCGATATCCTTCTAATACAGCGGGTAGGGAGACTTGTTTTGCCTCGCCTTAGTTAATCGCGTAAATCTAGAAGGTCGAGCCCTAACCTCTCCGGGGGTTCGCTAGGCGTAACTACCCTACTATATAGATAGAGGAGGAGTCTTCCTTCGATTCGCGCTTTAACCTCTTTAGGGAGACCCTCTCGAAGCTAGAGATTATAAGTCCCTATCGCTATATACCGGGACCGTTCTAGATATCGATGCCTAGGGTCTTTAAGGAATGCCGGCTAAGGAGGATAGAAGGTCCGTCCTAGTCGATACCGTAGGCGAGAATCTTCGTAGTTCGGATGTCTATACTAGAGTCGCTAAGTTTTAACTAGAACTCGTAGGCACCGTAGCAGTAGGTTTCGTAGGTCGATAGCTATCTAAGTAACGGGAGTTAGGCCTCGATTCGGGGTAGGCCTATTTCTACCGCTACCTTCTAGCTGATCGTAGTTACCTAGGCGTACGTGTCGAGGGCGACCTATATAGGTTTTATACCTCCGCTAGTAATAACAGTTCCTACTGTTTCGACAATGTCCCTAGATTCAATAGGTCGGGGCCCCGTCGCGTCCTAAGTGTTCGCGACGAGCCTAATTAGTTTTTTGGCTAGACGGGGGTCTAGTTAGGATTACCGCGCTTTAACGGGCAGTCTAGGCGAATATAACCTATCTTGCCGTACTCGTAGCACTTTAGTCCTAAGTGATCCCCTTTGTCTAGAGCGGCTTTCGCGGTAGCGCCCGATTTCGGGGCTTCAGCCGCGTTAGTACGCGGTTCCCTAGTATCTCCCCGGCGATCTCGATCTTTAGATTTTGGCTTGTTGCTACTAGTCCGCCCTTTACCGCCTTAGGTCCTCGGGTAGTTCTTCTCGATCTAGGTCGCTAGGTTAACTAACTCGTCCCGTGTTTTAGGGATAGAATTGTAATCGACGATCCGTCGGCGGGTCTCCGGGTATAACCGGGCGAAGAACTAGTATAGCTGTTATTCTAGAGTATACTATTCTAGCTATACCTCGAGAGTCTCTAGGTATATTAGGAACTCCCTTAGAGACTAGTTAGTACGTTGTTTAGCGGACGCGTAGTCTAGGTAAGCCTAAAGCAGTCGAGCGTTAGGATCGTCTAGGAGGTTAAGCAGGAACTGCTTAAAGTTATCCTAAGTCGTATCCTTACGCTCGGCCTCGGTTATCCGCTACTAGTATATATACTAGCGGTCCCTCGGGGTATACCCCTTAGAGAGGTACTGCATTGCCTAGGTATACTTCTCGGCTTCCTATTAGAAGGATCGTAGATTCTAGAGGAATACGACTTCGTACGACATTACGAAGTCGCCGTATTCTTTTAAGGACCTCTCCTCGTATTCGCTAGGGGCTTTTACCGAGCGTTTAGGAGGAGGGGCAATATCGGTTTCTATAGTATACCGCTTGTAACCGCGGCTACTCTAGAGGTCGGCTACTTCTTAGATTAGTAGCAGACGTTCCTTTTCCGCCCGTAGGCGGGCGATGTCTTTCTAAAGGTCGCTTAGCTCCTCGCGTTCGACGATGATTTCCGGCTCGGAATCGTTCGCGTCTTCTAGCTAGATACTAGCGAGAGCTTCTATAGATTCCTCCTAGTCGAGCAGTTCCTAAACTCGTCCTACTTCGATATCCGTAGAGGAAGATTGTTTAGTAGAGGCCTGTTCTAGTATAGAGGGGTTCCCCGGCGAGTCGCTAGGATTCTGTCTAGTAGAACGTCCTCCTGCTATTATTCGGACCTTTCCCTTATAGTTAAGGTACGAGAGTTATTATATAATAGTTCTATAAGCGTAAGGGTATACGTAATAGAGGTCTAAGGTATAAAAGGTATAAACAATATACGGCTTACTAACTGAGGTATAATAACTCTGCCCTTCCTTCCTAGAGGAGGGCCCTCGCTATATATACAAGCTATTCTATTGTCTACTCCTCGCTACCGGCACCGCCTCCTCTTAGGTAGCAGCCGATAACCGGTTCCCTTAGGAACCCTCTTGATTCAGAACGTCTCCGATCGGTAGGGCATCCCTTCTATACCGGATCGCCGGGGGTCCGCGAGGGCTTCCCGTCCCGCGCGGTACGCCCCGCCCGCCTCGCCGGGGGTTCGCTAGGGCTTCTCTGCCCTAGCGTGTTACAGACAGGGGTTCTATATATATCTACACTAGTATATTTCATATTATATTATATAGTTTATACGCCGACTACGTCTGCCGAACACGTTCTACTCTAGCTACGAGATTTCACTTTTTTACTAGAAAGTACTACGATACCTTAAGAAGTTAGTAGTCCAACTATTTCTCTAGATAATATAGTATTTATATATAATACCCTATAGCAGTTGTCCTAGTAATAGCGAATAAAGCGACAACAACTTATATTCGAAATAAAATTTAGGTAGAGGGGGGGGCACTTAGGAAATCGACGATAATAGTAGTAGCAGAGGAGCGTTAGTATAGGCGCGGAAGTATAATGTTGTTATAGAGGGTAGTGTCGGTGCTCGGGGTTACGGGATAGGGTTCCGGCTGCTGCCTAAACCTTAAATCTCTTAGATAAGAGAAATTTTATTTCTTAAAGCGCTTCTACCCTACGTATCTACCTCCGTACGTACTACCGTACGTACTACCGTACCTACCTAGGCCTCGTCATGGGTTGGGTTGGGTATGGGTTGGGTACAACCCAACTTAAATACCCAACCCTACAAATAAGCTGGGTACCCAGCTTATAAGCGGGGTACAACCCAACGGTAAAAACCCAGTGGGTATACCCAATGGGTATTGCAATGGGTATTACATAATACGAGTTGAATACCTACAAAATAGTAGAAAGAAATATTAATAAGGGATATATACCTACTACCTGATTCCTAGAGCGTAGAATTTGATAGGAATATATTCTATGTTTATTGCAGCTGCCGACCATATATGCCGACCATATATACCAATCAAAAAGGGATTACCAGAATAATAAGGGAAGCTCTAACCAATTGATTATAGTTATGAGCTACTATATACTAAGGATAGAAACTACCTTAGTTCTTAGTAAGTAGCTGAGCATCTAGAGCAGCTTGCTCCTTTGCTTGCTGCTTCAAGGCCTCTACCTCAGCGTCTTGTATCTTTTGATAAGCGCAAAGTTGATCCTCGAAATTCAGCCGCTGCCAACGATGAAACTGACGCGCAATTTTCTTTGCGTCTCCCTCGAGAGTTTCCTGAGCAAGGCGTAAGCCATCTTCTGAACGCTCTTTCGCAACAGTAAGCGCGTGAGCTGCCGCTACCAGCTTATTAGCATAGGCTTCTAGCCTCTGCTTAAGAGTTTGCTCATCATCGCTAGAATCATCATCTAGCTCTTCTTGATCATAACTAGCTTGAAAGTCTCGACCTTGGACATCTTGATCTCGGACATCTTGATCTTGCTTATCTTGTTCCTGCTTATCTTCATCCTGCTCATCATCGTCCTGCTCATTATCTAGGAGTAGCGGAGTATTATCCTGAGCTATTAAATTAGTATATTATAATTAATGATAAAAGAGTAACTTACCAAGAGTTGCCTGCTGAGCAGTGGTATCCTCGCTATTATTGTTTTCTACAGTCGGATTCTGAGTGGCGTCTGGCATATCCTCGTCAGAATCGTCTTCAACGATTCGTCGAGGCTGCTTAGTTGGGAGAGGCTTGCATTTTGGCGTAGCCTTTGCTTTCAGCGCCTTGGTAGCCTTGTTCTTCTTTGGCTCTGTGTGGATGAAATTGGGATTGACAGGACCAGAATTGTAAGGGCAGACTACGAAATCGTCAGGCCAAACACCCCACTCCTTGAGAAGCGAGCGAAGACACTCTATATCTTTGCCTTAGAGTGTGACGCGCTTAGCGTGGATGGCCAAAAGGTTGGCCGCTAGAGGAGGTAAGTAAGTAAGTAAGTAATCAGAAAGAATAAGAAATGGGAAGACTTACAGGTGAAGATTCTCACTAAGAGAGACTCAGCATATTCTTGAAGAACGCCAAGAGCGCTTGCTTGAATGCGAAGAGGTGTATGAGCCTGATCTATAACGAGCTCCTTGATAAGTCTGGCAAATGGGGTTTTCTTGATGTAGAGCAGGCTCTCCTTCTAGCACTTCCTGATCTCTTTAAGAGCCAATACTTTGAGAAAGTTAGTGCCGACCACAAATGCCGACCACAAATGCCGACCACAAATCTGGATTCTGGAATTACTTACTACCTGGGGCATATCTGTGTCCCTTCTTGATGCGAGTGCCTGGAAGCTTTTTACTACCTGTGCGCGAAGGAAGTCCCTTTCCACTAGTGCGAGGAGTCTTGCGTGCGATCGATTGTTTGCGCTTCTGCGCAATCGACATTGCCGAGGCCATTGTGGTGGATTGGTGCGCTGGTGTGGTGTGGTAGCGGTGGTATGGTGTGGTGTGGTGGTGTGGTGTGGTGTGGCGGAGGTGGTGTGGTGTGGTGTGGTGTAGTGGAGGTGGTGAGGTGAGAGAGAAAGGAAGGGGGCAATGTTGATGTAGTAAGTTAGGTTTTTTCTGAAGTGGAGAGTAACTTTGTGTTGTTGGGAGACAACCGCTCGGCCAATTAGAGGCCACGGATTGTTTGCTGCCTGAGTAATAACACATGCGCACTTCACACGAGATCCAAATAAGGTTTGCGTACGTAATCTTCAATTGCCGGGAGTAACCGGCAGGCACGGTCAGCAGGTACGGTCGGCAGGTACGGTCGGCAGGTACGGTCGGCAGGTACGGTCGGCAGGTACGGTCGGCAGGTACGGTCAGCAGGTACGGTCGGCAGGTACGGTCGGTACAGGTAGTAAATATCATCGGAAAGTCTTCTCGGTAGGAGTCCTAATCCTTCCCCTGAGACATGGTTAGCAGACATGGTCGGCAGACATGGTCGGCAGATATGGTCGGCAGATTCCCAAAAGCTTAAAAGTCATCTTTTCCGTTATTTTCCCCTAGGAAGCGCTTCCGAATCCATCGACAAAGTACTATATCCTTTTGCTGCAACGTCACTCGTTTCGTATGTATTGCAAGCATATTAGAGACTTCGAACTCAAGTGTAAGAAACGCTTCCGTCGCTTCCTGTAGACAGAGGAGGGCCTCTGCTTGGAACCGGCATACGCTACTCGAAGATTTACTTGCGATATCCATAGTAACTTCCCGACAGATCCTCTGGAATGGTAGTCGACGTATTAACAGCTCGGTCGTCTTCTGGTATCTCCTAATCTCGCGAAGAGCAGCTACACCAGGCTTTGTTCGTCGCTTAGTTCTCGCTTTGGGTGCCTTTCGTATTATAGGCTTCTTCTGCGGCCGTTGACTCCCTATCGGCCTCTTATTCCCTGGATAGGACTTTTTCGCGACTAGTTTCGTACGTCCCCGCCTCCTTTCGGCGAGGCTTTTACTTGGTCCAGGAGAGGCTGTCGGTTGAGGTGGTTGTCGTATACGCCGCCTAATCGGTATATCCGAATCTTCGCTAGTCTCCGGACTATAGATTACTGGACCTGCACCTTGATTTGCTTGCCTTTCTTCCTTCTCTCCGCTATAATTAGGATTATAGATTACTCCCGCAGTACCTTGAGTTGCCTGCTTGTCCTCCTTCTCTCCGCTATAATTAGGATCGTAGATTACTTTTGCGGTACCCTGAGTTCCCTGCTTTTCTTTCCCCTTTCCGAGATAGGATATCTTTTCGAGCGGCTCCATTCGTTCCTCCTGTGTCCTATCTAACCACTTCTGAGTCCTTATATCAGTTCCGCTATCAAAAGCAGCCTTCGGAAGCCCTCTAGGTCTCGATTGTTCGTCCTGTGGTAAATCGAGTCCATAGTCGAGTTGGTCGTCGTTATCCCTAGGGAGGGAGGCAGAGACGTAGGTAGAGAGGGAAACAGTATCCATATTAGGCATTTTGAGAGCTTTGAGTATATCTCGGTAGATTGACAAAGTTGACGATAGAGAAGAAAAGAGAGAAGGAAAATACGGGGGGTATAAGGAAAACCCGGAGTTTGCCAAGGCGCTTATCTCGAGAGTATATCGGATCTCGCGGGAAGGTAATTAGTAATCTATACAGGGATTCTATA